ACCATAAGAGTAACAAAGATATTCGTCATGATTTACTAAAGGCTTAATAAATATGATTACACTTACAAGATTAAGTGTAATTTTGAATTGATTAAAGGGTTTAGATCAATAGCAAAATGAATAAGAAGAATCAAGTAGGCAGAAAGATAAGAGTTTCTCCATTCTAAGAAGAAGGGAGAGTAGCTTTTATGCTTTATGATATGTCTTAATGATTAAGAACCATATCTCAATTGATCCTCTAAGTGAGTCTTAGTACAATTGTATGTTTAACAAGAGGAATCAAGGATTGAAGAAATGGTTAGATCAAGAAGTCTATCATACTTCGTTCCAATAACAAGTCTTAAAGTTAAGATTGTGACAATGAGTGAAAAGTATTAAAGGTTTATAACATTCATCAAATGTGGAAAGTTGTGATGTCTTGAATAAGACAAAGACCGACTAGGACAATTTATGAAGTGTTTTGATACAAGCTACACTAACTCTTGAATATTTGGTTGTCAAGAAATGTTTATTGACAAGAGAATCTTATATGTCAAGAGTCAGTGGGAGTCTTAATGGTCTTGAAAGGTTTCAAGAACAAATCAAATAAACCTTATTGATCATCACTAGCACACGAGTTGAGGTTTACAACCTATCGTGTTGACATTATTTTGTTTCTGTGCCAATCCAATCGAGTTAATTATGCATGTGAGTCCTATGAGTTCTCATTTGAATGCATAAAAGGCAAGGACCTTGATCAATGAAAGTACATTGATAGGAAAAGGTGAGCTGCTTAACTACTTGGAAGACGTGGTGGGCAGCTGTGCTACCATAAGGCAAGAAATCAAGATTAAGAAGTTCGATCCATATGAGTTTGAATTTGTCGTAAACTTTGGTTTTAACAAATTCACATGGATAGGAACACATACACCGTTTAAATCTAAGTGTCATAAGATTTCCTCCTTCATGAAAATGATTGTGAGGAAATGCTTTCACTAAGAAAGATTTTAAGAAGATAGTGATTGTAAAATTGCATTCTCGAATTCATTATGGTTACGGTATCCCTTTCCATATTTGAATTGTGAGGTTTGGCAATTAGTCTTAATTGTTTAAGACACACATATGAACTATCTAAGCAAAGGTGTATAAGTTCAAGAAGCCTTGATAAAAGATTATCAAAGCACTAAGTATTAGAAACATGGACTTAAGAAATTCAATAGGTATTGTCTTTCTGAAAGTTAAGATGTTTATGAATACATGTCGAAGCTAGTGGGAGCATAAGTGTTATGTTTTATAGTAATCATCATGATAGTGGGAGCATAAAAGTTATGATTGTATGATTATTATGGAAAGTTTGCAAGTTGGCAATATTAATTATAGAAAAACAAGAGTTATACCTTGCAAAGTCGTAAGGGTTGTATAGTTGTTTTGCTATAATTAAGGGAGAGAATATTATGCTTCATTTCAAATCTAAAGGCTTAGGTTGAGAAATGTTAATAAATTTAGTCAAAGGTACATAGTGTGTTCTTAAAATTTCGATTATGATTACGGAATTCCTTTTCACAATTCGAATTTTGAGAACATAGCAAATAAAACATTGTGCATCGTGTCCCATACGCTTCGGGTATAGGATCGATTGCAAAGGGCTTTAATGTTTGACCATTCTAAAATTTTCCAAATGTCCAGCGCATTTAGAGGGAAAAGGGACTAGAATTGGTTCTGACTAAAATAATTAAACAACTATCAAAGGACGATTCGAAGTTCGACGAGAATTGGTCGCTTGTGAGTAGTTGGAAGTATAGTATTGGAAATTATGGAAATGTTTCCATATTGGATGGACCATATCGACATTATTAGGAATAGATAAGATTCTATTGAAAAAATAAGTTGTCATATGGAAAATATGGAAATGTATCTATATTGGGAATTGAATATTGAAAATCTATGTCTAGATTAGAAACTTTTATGCAAAAGGATGTTCAAAGGAATGTACTTTGAGTGAGAGACATCATATCTAAGGAATTGTCTTGTAACAATCTACGTTAGAGGACTTTGTAATATTATTGGCAATAGTCTTTGAGACTTTGGTGCAGTGACATTACAAAAGGATCGTTGCATAAAGTGTTAGAATCTAGTATATTCTATAAGTAACAAGAATTTGATATTCTTACACTTAAGAAAAAGGATTTGGAGTTGTAAAATGAGAATGATTGGAAATGTGTTCAATTTGTCTATTTCACAAAGTAAGAACCATAGGTAAACATTGTGTGCATGCTAGGAGCATGGGACAACTGTAATAATTCAAGTATAAAGTTAATTACCCGAAACAACAAATAATGAGTAATCGATATGGTGATAAATAAAACGTGTTTTGTTTATACTCAAAGGTTTGAGGCCATATGGGATTAGTATTATTCTTGTGTTTCACCTTGCATGTTTTGACTTCCAGAATAATTGAGTTTATTAAGAATAATCGAATTATTCGAACGGGCCACAATCGTTCATATGTTAGAAGTAGATATGAATGAAGATTGTCGTGAATTGGTGTGTGGATTGTCTAAAAGAGTATTAGACATAAGCAAATGTTTGCTGTAACGTTCATGAGTGCTTATGAATATGATTTGAGCATTGGATTAAACCCACGCTCACTTGGATCACTCCATGGATTATATCACGAGTGATTAGTGAGACGATAACATCTTATATTCTTGAAACCAAGATGTGTGAGTTGTATCTTGCTAATCGGTTGCACATTGATAATATGTAAACGCACTAGTAACTTGGTGTTATAAAACATATTGTTGTGTGTGATTTGGTTAGTGAGTGCAAGCAAGCATTGTATCAAAGTTTATCTGTTCCTTTTATCCAAGGTAGGATAAAAGCGATATCTTTGGGCCCCTCAATGGTTTAGTGATGACAAACGTAAATGCTCGGCCGGGCTAGGGCTAATTTGATTTGTTCAATTAGTCTGTCGTCATAAATCAGAAATCGAGAAGTAGTACAAAGAGAATGATTAGAAATCATATCTCAGACGATATCAAGAATGGAGGAATATATGATCCCTTATCTAAGGACACGCGTATCTGATGTGATCAGAGTTGACAGCAGCTTTGGAAAGCTACGATTGCATATCAGGATCTGAAGTCATACGCAGAATAGTTGTTAGACTTATCCAAGTGGGAGATTGTTGGATTAGTGTCTAAGTCCATAACTATTTTGGTATGTACTTGACCCGATGGTGCATGGTCCTTTTGGGTTGCCTTCACCAAAGCAACTTGATAGGATGAATTATGGAGAGTAAGGATTAAATATGATTTATTAATGTATTATGAGAATAATATATTAAAGGAGAAATCATATTTTTTAATTAATATTAGTCAATAATTAATTGGTAATTAGTTTTGTGACTAAAAGAGATTAATTAAACTTAAGGGACTGGAATTGTAATTATAGGATAATTGCAATTTGGGCCATGGATTGCCTTGTATCAAGGGTTGGACGAATTCTATGGGGAAGCCCATAAGGAAATCATCCAAGGGCTTGATTAAAAGGAGTCTATGAGTTGCTTAGGGCTTAAGCATCCAAATTAGGGTTTCCTTGTTAGATAACCCTAATAGCCCAACTATATAAAGATCCCTTAAGGCTAAAAAACGTGGCTAAGCTTCTTGTTAGGGTTTCTACACGTTTTTGGTAGCCTCCATCCTCTCTCCTCTTCATCCTCTTGCTTATGGTGTTTGTAAGCCATTAGAGGAGTGACACTTGTGACTCTAAGCCTTCCAAAGTCAATACAAGGAGGAATTGGGATTGTTATTGCTACATAACAATCAAGGTATGATCTTAAACCTAATTACATATTAATATGATTACTTGAATGCTAGAATTAGGGTTTATAGTCTTGGATTCAAAGCATGTACAATAGAGAAACCTAGAATCAAACATTAGGGTTTGTATGAGCACATAGGATGTCTTATGACCAAAACCCATCACTATTACCTTGAAATCAACCATAGGATCAATTGAGTTGAACTAAACAGAAGTTCCTTCGTATTATTGAATCTAGTTAATTCTTTGTTTTTCTAGTTTTTAGATTAAGTAATAGTTAGTAAGTTTCTAGTCTTGTAAAACTAGAGAAAACCCTCTACTTATTAATTAATTTAGATAGAATTAGTTTTTATTTTTAATTTGTCGTTCCCTGTGTTCGATACCCTACTTGCTTAAACTATTCCACAATTGATAGGTACACTGTCTTTGTGTGTTTATTTTACAACTAAAAGTAGGATTAAAACTAAGTGAGTTTACGCACATCAGTACCGTCTGGGATCTGTGTCTCCCTTTGATTAGACTGAGCCAGGCGTGTCGTTTGTTCGATACTCTCCTGGAGTCTATGATTCCTTTTGCCTTAGTCAACAGTCTTCACTGCTGAGGCATATGTTATTTCCCTGATTTCTCTTACTTTCTTTAATAATCAAATTCTGCATTTTGATAATGATAGCGATTAAGGGAAAACTACTTTTTACCACATAACTCCGTCCAATCTTGGTAGAAGACTGCTTTTATTAAAGAAAATATAGGATTTTCTGGAAAAGACACTAATTTAATGGATACTTTAAAACTACCACTTTTATTAAAGTTATTTGAATAAAATGACACTAAATACTTATGAAGACTGCTGAGGCATTTGTTGTACTTTGATTACTATAATGCATGTGTTGTGATACTTGACATTACGTCATCCACCCTAGAACGTTTCCGCCATTCTGGTTTTGGGGTGTGACACAAGTTCACTATTCCTCTGGTCAATATTACTATTCATCTGACGATATTTTCAGACGAAAAACTATTCACTGACAAATTTTACGGTGAATGTTCTGACCAATTTACCAGCGAAGCTCTAACAAGTTTTTCGAGGAAAACACTATTCACGTGACACTATTCACCGGATTTCAAAACTGTTGTTTTTTGGATTTTCTTAATCCATTCATTTCTCGACTACAAACCCCACAAGTGAATGTTACGTCCCCATGAGTTCGATACCCACGCTAACCAATGTTATATTGTTATACGATTGGGTACACTTGCCCAGTTATGTGATAGTCCCTAGTTACACTTAAATGAGTTATAAATTCAAGACTATATTTAACACATCACCCACCCTTCAACAATCCCTCAAAGTTCTGAATTATAGTCTTCTTGATGATGGTAGAGATACGATGATACAAACAAACGAAGAATAAAAAACCAAACCAATGTAAACAAAAATGAGAAAACCCAACTATGACAAGTTGATACATTGTCATCCATTAAAACCATATCAATAACGTTTAGTTCAGAGGACTTCAAGTAAACATGTCACTTCCATAACGAATAACACATCCGTTGAATTTCCTTCCGTCAACATCAATATTGACATCACTAATCAAATGATATTGTAAACCCCTATCAAACACTATCACAATTCTAACAATTATCTATACAACAACAATTATATCTACAATTGACACACCACATGTCTTATTTATACATACAACAAAGCACAACTAACATAATAAATTGATAAGGTGAATAATCGAACATATGAACAAACAAAAACGATCACTAAAAGATCACAGCATGCTAAAATACAACTCGTAACCACAGTTTAGTTTAACGAAGAGTCTATGCTAATTGAACCACACGTCAAAAAACAAAAACAAAAGCTTACTATATTTTGTTATTCCCAAAATAGAGCATATTAGACACTTTGTATGGCATAAAATTGGGTTTTTTATGCTAAAAATATGTTAAAAGTTATATAGGAATATAAAAATGTATGATTAATTAACCCAAATAAATTTACCACGAAACGGTATTTAACTTTTCCATAGATCCGATTCCTATCAATAATTTGAAAGATTTTTCTTCGATAAAATCCTCCAAAAAAGCTGTCCGTCCTCTCGGCATCCAAAAGGACAGGTGTTCATCAACATACACACATACACAGATCTAAAACTCTTTCCATTTCCACTTTTCCGATCGATTTTAATCCAAAATCGATTAACAATGTCTTCAGGTTCAGCATTCAGTGGTGATGAAACTGCCCCTTTCTTTGGTTTCCTCGGCGCAGCTGCTGCCCTCGTCTTCTCCTGTACGTGATCAAATCCCTAACCCTAATCTCAATAATTTCTCGATTTATCGTCGATTTAGCAAACCATAATTACACATACGATGCTAAGTTATTGCGATTTGAACCAATTCATACCTTAGAACTTCGAATTAGATGGTTGTGATGATCCGTAACCATATATTCCTTTATTCGTTTTTTTTTCCGAATTAGAAACTTAAGGATTAAATCGAAATTAAGATTTTGATTGATTGATTTGTACAGGTATGGGGGCGGCGTATGGAACAGCGAAGAGTGGTGTTGGTGTGGCGTCGATGGGTGTGATGAGGCCTGAGCTAGTGATGAAGTCGATTGTTCCTGTGGTTATGGCTGGTGTGCTTGGTATTTATGGGTTGATTATCGCTGTTATCATCAGTACTGGGATTAACCCTAAAGCAAAATCGTATTATCTGTTTGATGGCTATGCACATCTTTCCTCTGGTTTGGCTTGTGGTCTTGCTGGTTTGTCTGCAGGAATGGCGATTGGAATTGTTGGTGATGCTGGTGTTAGGTATTGTTCTTACTTCTCTTTCTCTATTCATTTAAATCTTCACTACATAATCGTAATTTTATGCAGGTTTGAAATTGTTGATTAGGTATAAGATAATATAGACGAACACTTCATCTTCTTCATGAATTATGTAAAAAAAATTGTTTATTTTACAGAGCGAATGCACAGCAACCAAAGCTTTTTGTGGGTATGATTCTTATCCTCATCTTTGCTGAAGCTCTTGCCTTATACGGACTCATTGTTGGCATCATTTTGTCTTCACGTGCTGGACAATCAAGAGCAGATTAAGAAGATTGAAATTGTTTTTTTGTTTTTTTTTTTTTTTTAAATATCTGTTTGTTGTTTGTTTTGTTCGCATAAATCAAGATCTTGTTTTTTTTTTCTTTGTTTCATAATTTTCCATGAACACAGATTATTGCATGAGCCTAAATTTTGCTGATGGGATTCTTTGTTGACTCATTATCACTAGTGTTTACGTTATTGCAAAATAAGAGTTTGTGATTTTGTGTAATTGTTGCTTTGAATATCCCTTTTAGAAAATGTGGTGGCTGGGTATCACTCTTCTTATAGGCTTATAGGCTTGTAGGTTAATTGTTGATAATAACAAATGTATTTTACTTTTGCTACTAATAAAAATGGTAAACTGTATCATTTGAGCAAAACATATAACACTAGTGATATTTTGGAAATTTGAATCCTTGATCTCATAATTTTGCATATAATATGGTCGATGCAAGTTGTACCTTTGAAAATGATCCCTTTAACAAGAGAAAACTGCAAAAATAGTGCTTGTTGTTTGATGTGTTTTTTGGATGGTTTGCTGTGTTTTTTTTGAACGGAGTCCAAAAAGTTTGCAACTAGCAAAAAACTTTATCTTAGAACAATATCTTTCCATGCACGTGTACATGTCAAAGATTTGGGGTCTCTTTATGTAGAAGATTACTCAAGCTTACAAAACTAAGCTCTTCAATGGGTATTTAGCCAAAAGTTGGACGTAAGGTAAAATGATAACTTTATGGTGGTTTAACGGAAGAAACGAACGGATATCAAGTGTGGATTAATCCACAAAGAAACCCGGTCAAAAGAAATTTACATGTTAGAAAACTTTTTAGGCTTCATTCAAAGAAAACAACAAACGATAATAATCATTTTTGTGGTTTTCTCTAACAACAGTGTACTTACATTTCTTGATTATCCATAATAGCAACATGTTTACATTCTGTAACCATTATCACAATGTAATTGTATATAACTACCAATATGAGCATGTACTTTGTTTGTAACGTATTATTACTATCACTAAGACTATGCGGTATGGGCCAAACGAGAAGCAACAGGGATGAGGTGGCATGCCTCAACGGTGTTGTGAGGGGGGACCCCCCCCCCCCTAACTCGTTTTTGCTCGTTGAGGTTGAATCTCGTTGCCGTCGCGACTGGATGAAACGCACAAATTTTAAACGTTTAAAATGACAATGGTATAAAAAAAATTAACTATTAACAAAAAATCATTTACCCTATAAATACCTACCATTTTATAAAAAATTTCACACAATTTCTCTTCTTCTCTCTACATAGTTTCAATTATCTTCAAAAAAACATATGGACCCTTAAAAAATTTCACACAATTTCTCTTCTTCTCTCTACATAGTTTCAATTATCTTCAAAAAAACATATGGACCCTTTCAACTCGTCCGATGATTTAGATGACAATATTTTCTTCAGGATGATGTATCATCATTACACTACTGACCTGCTACAACCAGACTCAAACCCGCTACTAACAAGATGTGCGATGTTAAACATAAATCACGCGGAAAGACACGAACATCTATATCGCGATTATTTTGTGGATAATTGTGTACACGGGGCGAAGGACTTCAAAAGAAGATTTCGTTTGAGTATGGATGTGTTCTTACGAATTGTCAACGCCTTGGAAAGTCGGTTCGCTTCTTTACTATACTTTTATACAAAATAAATAAAAATGTACTGCATGTTTCTTTAATTTTACAACACATGCAATATATTTTTAAACTGTAGTTAATTTATGCTTAGGTATGAATTTTTTTTCAATTAAGATATGATGCTAGAGGTAGACGAGGGTTTACAACGTTGCGGAAATGTGTAGCAGCCATTCGTTTGATGGCTATGGGGGAATCACGCGACACCATAGACGACTATATGAGAATGTCCGAAAGAACCGCAAGAGAGAGTTTGTATACATTATCAAGGGGTGTTGTTGAAACTTTTGGAGACGTGTATTTGTGAAAACCTTTGTTGCATGATTTGCAAGAATTGTATGCGGCGCATGAAGAACGGCATGGGTTTCCCGGAATGACTGGAAGCATTGATTGCACACAATGGAAATGGAAAAATTGTCCAGTAGCATGGAAAGGGCAATACGCAAGTGGTCATCACGGATCACCTTCGTTGGTTTTAGAGGTTTTTGCTTCTCAAGATTTATGGATTTGGCATGCATTTTTTGGGGTTACGGGTTCAAACAACGACGTCAACGTTCTTGGTCAGTCGCCAATATTCGACGATCTTTTGAATGGAAAGGCCCCAGATACTCCTTTCACGGTGAATGGAAACGAATACAAATATGGGTATTACCTTACAGATAGAATATATCCTCAGTATTCCACATTCGTAAAAGCATTCTGCCACCCGGTTGAAGAACGAGACAATTTTTTAAAAGAAGACATGAAAGAGCACGTAAGGATGTGGAACGTGCTTTTGGAGTGTTGAAGGCGAAGTGGCGTATAGTCGAACATGCAACACGACCATTGGATTTAGAAACTCTACGATATATCATGTATGCATGTATCATAATGCATAACATGGTAGTAAAAAATAAAGGGCGAAATATTGCACACTATATCCCAACGGAACTCAGACACGTTCAGTTTCAACCTGAAACAACATATTATTTGCATCGCGTTGTTGACATTCAGGACGCAAATAAACACAGACAACTTCGAGAAGACTTTGCGAATTATATATTCTATGGTAACAATAATGATAACGAATAGCGTTGTATTTTTTTTTTTTTAATTTGGATGTTATTATTATTATTATTATTATTATTATTATTATTATTATTATTATTATTATTATTTTGAGTTTGGATGTTATGTGTAATTTAATCTCTATGTTAATTTTAATCTTTAAAAATTATTATATGTTATTTATAATTTTTAAACATTATGTTTTATTTATTATGTTATATTTAAAAAATATTTGTCTAATAAAAAAATCGAAAAATAAAATAAAATAAATTATAAAATGGAAAAAAAAAGTTGTTGTCATAATAAGATACAACATGGTGATCATTTCCCCACTTGGTGTTATAACATCATTGATGATGTGGCACCAAAATGGTGTTACATCTAGTTGTTCACACCTAGTGCTCTAAACAAATGTAAGGCATTGACACGGTGTTATATGGATATCGAATTGTAAGCGTGTTGTTGTTATATGCATTAAAAAAACATATATATTGCTATCGGTTATATATTGATATTATTGTTATATTGTTATTATTGGTATAAAATATAACTAAACATTGATTTGGTTAACAAAATCCATAGACATAATCAGTCTTCTGCCCTGACATTATAATTTTCATGCAATATGCAACCGGTGGATTTGACAATACACTTACCCTACGGACCTTATGTTATATCTTTTGGTACTAGTCATACCAAGTCGACTTATCATTTTTTCATATATCTTTTTTTGGAAAGGGAACTTCTTTAACGAGGGTTTTCAGGCCAACGTTCGCGTACCAACTAATCATCTGTTGCAAACATGAAGCTTTGTCTCATGTTCTGGAGTCACTGCACGCGAACGTCTATGACCACAAGGCCTGAGTGGTGTCAAGATTTGAATATAGGTCAATAGTTTATCCACCATATCTTCTACATGTCTTACCAAGTCATCATATCTTTCAAGTTTTAAAAATAGTTTTTTTTATTAAATATGATTATAAAAAACTACGCAATTAAAATAATCTTACCTTTTTTAAATAAAGTGGTTTAGGATGTGAGTGTGAGCATTTAAATTTACCACTTTTTGACACATTTTTATTTTTAGTCGTGGTAAAACCTTATATAAACTGAAGCTAATCTATAAGCTATAAATAAATTTGTCTTTATTATCAGCCTAGAAATCAAGACCATATAAACTACATTGAAGCTTTTTATAATGTTGTCAAGAAAAGAGGTGCCTTCGTTGAGAAAGAAAGGGTATCTAAAATCCCGTAATTAAAGTCGTGCCCTAAATAGAAATCAATTTCAAAAGAAATATCCACCAATCTGGTTTCTCTTCTTTCGGGATACCAATTAAGATAAATGTGGGAAATCAGTGAGGTTGATTGTTGAATGATTGTTTCCTAAAGAGAGTATATGTAAGAAAAAGATAGTAACTATGGCCGTAAACGAACTGAACGTTCGACGAACCGTTCGTGAACTGTTCGGTGGGAAGTTCGTTTATGTTCATTTATTTAATAAATGAACGAACATGAACAAAAATTATCGTTCGTTTAGTTAAATGAACGAACATGAACAATAGTCTCGTTCGTTCATTTATGTTCACGAACGTTCATTTATGATGTTCGTTTACGTTCGTTTATGTTCGTTCGTTTAAGTTTATTTATATTTATTTTATATTCAACTTTTTTTATTATATTGCTATATTATATGTTCGTTTATGTTCATATATGTTCAATTGTGTTTTTTTTTTTATCTTTGTTCGTTTAGCATGTTCACGAACATAAACGAACGAACATGAACAAAGTAATTTTTAAACGAACGAACATGAACAAGAAAATCTCGTTCGTTTATTCGTTCGCGTTCGTTTGTTGTTTGGCTAACTTAAACGAACGAACATGAACATGACCTTGTTCGTGTTCGTTTGGTTCGTTTACATTAGTAACAATTAGGTTTTTCATGGTTTTAAATTAATTTGTATACTAAACATAAAAGTTTAATATAACTTAATCAATATAAAAAGATGTTGAATTTTAAATACTAATTTAAAAATCGATTTGTATTTATTACATTTTGCCTAAACTTCATGTATCTATACTTTGTGGAACTTTCAAGAATTGATGAAGATTAAAATATAAAACGTCTTCGTTAACGTTTAACATCAACGTTTGAGATTATTGACAAGAGAGATAGTAATGAACTAAAGGGGCTAACTTACATTTCTGCTAAATACAAGGGGACTTTTTGCCAATTTTCAGTTTGTAAAGGATTAGTTTAGAACGTTCTAGAATCATTACAGATGTTTAACAAAGTTTAGGATTGGGGTGAAGAAAAAAATCTTGCAAAAAAACTTCATTGGAAATAATGGCTTCTTCCTCATCTTCTTCTGTGTCTCTAATGGCTTCCCAAACCCTAATCCTTCAAAAATCGACCTTCCTTCACCCTCGCAGACCCTCAATTGTCTCTCTTTCTAAACCCAAATCCATTTTCTCTTCGAAACCCGTTCACCTTTCTCTCAAAAACCCTAAGAAACCCTTAATTATCGCCTCATCTTCTTCCTCATCGTCGCCGACAATAGCCCCCAATCCACCGACGGAACCACTACTCACCGGGTCAACCAGAACAATCACAACCCTCTTCGCAATTGCCCTCACAGCCTCCAAAGTATTCGCTCAGAAGATCGCCACTTTCGCCCTAAATTTAAACCTCCAACAAAACGTACTACCCCTTACCGGAACTTTGTTCTTCGCCACCATGAGCGGCCGACCGGCGCGTCTGCATACGCCGTTGACTGTTGTGGCGGCCGGAATGGCGAAATGGCTTGATATTTACAGCGGGGTGTTGTTGGTTAGGGTTTTGTTGAGTTGGTTTCCGAATATTCCATGGGATAGACAGCCATTGTCAGCCATTAGAGACTTGTGTGATCCTTATTTGAATCTGTTTAGGAATATTATCCCTCCGGTGTTCGATACTTTGGATGTTAGCCCTTTGTTGGCCTTTGCAGTGTTGGGTTTTCTGGGCGGAATTCTCAAGAGCAGCAGGATGGGGTTCTAAGAGACACAAGGTATTTTAATGGAAGATTCCGTTTCATAAATTTTGCTCTTCTTTGAATTCATCATTGTATTCTTAGCTTCTTTTGGGTTCTGTAGATAAGCTTAAATGCATTTTTTTTTTCAACAAAATCTCACAATCTGCCCAATTTATACTATTCTTATTGGTTATAGTAATGTACTTACACATGTATCTTTTCTTAGTTACAAAACAGGTGTGCAAAATTACGAAAATGGGTCTGTCATCTATTCAATAGCATCATGAAGGTTGGTCTTTTGGTGTCATAAAATTTTGCTTGTTTTCTTATATTTGTAAGCAATTAGTAATATTGGAGGTACTATTATAGCATTAGCAACTTTTATTATTATGATCAAATGAATCTATTAAACAATCGGCTGCTTGTATAATGCAGTGTAGACATTTTTTAATTGATGTGTAACAAGTGGAAAATGGTTGCTATTTATATACGGGTTACCATTCAATTTATTTATACATGATTGTTTCATGTGTTTTTATATTCGAGTTTGGAATTGGTTTTGTAGTGGTTTTAATCTGTATTTTGTGACGTGAATTTGTAAAATGTTTACAAGATTTGTTTTATTTGTTGCTATTAATCATAATATTATTTGTAAGTTGTTATGAGTGAAAAGTAAAAAGTATAGGTATCTTACTAGTATATGTGAAAAAAAAACATAAGTATATTGCTATTGATTAAAATAATGAAAGTATGTTATTATTACCTATATATCGTATGAGAAAAAGTAAAGTATTTTGCTATTACCTATATTGTAAATGCACTTGGGGTTAGATTGTTAAAATACCCAATAAAGATTTTTAGCAACCTTAGACTTAAATCAAGAATACAACTTGATATTTTCAACCAAACACAATTAACAGTATGTAAAAGATTTATGGAAAATACTTCTCAAACAAAATACCAAATTTAAAGAAAATCAACCGTATTTGGCTAAGTCATTGTTTATGGTCAACCCGCAATATCTAAATCTTAAGTTTGTAAGGAAGATTAAGTCTATAGGTTTATTCTCATCAATAGGTACTAATCTAGCAACAACATTCACTAATGTTGCTTGATATTTAACTTCATAAGTTGTTTTGAAAACTTATGAACCCTAGTTTGGTGAAATGTCGACTCGAAGCATTTGATCATGAATTTGATGTTAACCTACCCTATAAATGAGCTTTCGTAATATCTAATGAAGTTTACTAATCCATAACTTATAACTAATAACTTCTTATTTGTTATTGGAGTGATCTCAAGCTAAATTTGAAATTTATGAGCTCATTTGATGGTTTTTAATCTAGATTTGGTTTTTGAATGGATGTGATTTGTTGGGTTATCGATGTTATTCTTGTATGTTCAAAAATAAAAAGTCTTGATGCTTTTGTGTTGATTGTTCCATCCTTGCAACTTGACAACTATATTGAAATTTAATGGGACCAAATTTCCCATGTTTTACTTCTAACATTTTAAATTTGAATGAGTTTTTGACTAACTATCCATGCAAGGAAAGGAATGCTTCACAAGTATATTTATCCAACATTTATATAAGCTAATTAGTCATACATACAATTGTATGACTAATTCACAACCAAAAAAAGAGTGTTCATCACAAACAATAGAAAATCAATGGCAACGCATGTTTATACTGTGTTGAATTTATAACACAACCACAACACAAAGTCATGCTTTTTAAACGCGACACAAAAACACCATAAACAAAAATTAGAATATCCATTTTGTGTTGTGTCCTATAATCAATCATCACCCCTAAAACAAAAACATACAATTAAAGTGGCCTACAATTATACCAAATACAACAAATTTTCTCCATAACCTTATCTATTCTTTATGACCATACATTAATAACAATCTTTAAATTTCCAAAAAAAAAAAAAAATAGTGTTCATCACAAACACTAGAAAATCAATGGCTTCTGAGGATTCTACATTTTAATGGCTTTGAGAGACACCTATGGCATCACTTTTGAAACCATAAGTAATCAATAGCACAAACACAAAACCAAACCTTGTTGATCTGAGTATAAAGCGAAATATATTTTGATATAATTGAGACAAAACTCAATACACCAATGTTAAGGAGACAACAATCATTCAAACAAAATGATGAATCTTAAGCAAAATCGATGAAATGGGTTCATGCCAAAACCATAAGAAACTTAAACACAACAAAAGAGAATTAACACAGTCAAGAAATATGTATAATCAAGATGATTAGATTAATTGTGGTGCTAAAATCAAGAAACTTTGTTAACATTTAACCTAATGTAGCTTCATACAAACAATATAACTATTCTACACCATAACTGCATATTTCTATGCCTTTTTGGGTGATTTTGAAGCTTTGGTCGATTTGGGAGATTTAGGAGTCTTCTCGGAGTCAACTGCAGATTTCTTAGGCAACAAAACTGGATTGATGTTTGGTAGAACACCACCATTCGCGATGGTAACACCAGCAAGCAATTTTCCCAATTCTTCATCGTTCCTCACAGCCAATAGAACATGTCTAGGGTTAATTCTCGTCTTCTTGTTATCTCTTGCTGCATTTCCAGCCAACTCCAAAACCTAGAATCCAATTTTGGGGAACAAATCAATTACTGATTTCAACAAATATCAAAACAAAACGAAAATTACTACAGAAAACTAGGATACGAACCTCAGCAGCGAGGTATTCAAGAACAGCGGCGAGATAGATCGGTGCACCGGAGCCAGTTCGTTTAGCGTATTGGCCTTTTTTCAGAAACCTAGAGATTCTACCCACCGGAAACTGAAGTCCGGCCTTAACCGACTTAGTCACCGATTTCTTCCGTTCGCCGCCGCCTTTCCTTCCTCCGGCACCCTTAGTTGTTTTCCCGGACTCCATTGATCTGGCTTGAAATTGGTGTCGAGAGATTAGATTCGATGGAGTTGATTGTGAATTTGAAAACTCGATGAATAAAACGGAGGGAGAAGATGAATATATATAATGTGCGGTTTGTTTGGTTGAATTTAAGGTGGGAGGATCTAAAATGATCCGACGGTTAACAAAGCATGCCACGCTGGTAATCCATAGCCGAGGCGAAGTTAATTAATTAACTAGTTAACTGGCGTTGATTAAAGTTGGGCTAATTTTGAATTTGTAAAACTGAAATATAAGTAATTATGTATTATTGTTATTGTTATTTTCTACAAATTTATGTATATATTTCTAATATAAATCATATATATTCAACAAAAAGACATGTGCAAATTTACGAAAATGGGTCCAATAGCATAATGAATGTTGGTCTTTTGGTGTCTTCAAATTTTGCTTGTTTTCTTATATTTGTAAGCAATTAGTAATATTTGAGGTACTGTTATAGCATTAGCAGCTTTTATAAATGGATCTATTAAACAATAGGCTGCTTGTAGAATGCAGTGTATACATTTTTTACATTTTAGTTTGGAATTGGTTTTGCAGTGGTTTTAATCTCTAACATGAAATTGTAAAATGTTTACAAGTTTTGTTAATTATACTTGTTGCTTTTAGCAACCTTACACGGATTGAGAATACAACTTGATATTCAACTAATAGTATGTAAAAGATTTATGGAACATAGTTCTCAAACGGAGTACTTTTTTTAGTAGGAGATACAGCCCCCACCCAGAATGCACTAACTACGAGATACGGGCTCCGTCCACACTCTGCTAACTATGAGATACGGGTCCCACCCACACTCAACTACTAAGCATACATACAAGTATCACACAGACAACAAGTATAATCAAATTTATCAATCAGTCTTATATCCATACTCAAATAACGTTATGAGATATGGGCTCCGCCCACACTTAGCTATCAATGAGATACGGGCCCCAACCACACTCAACTACTAATCAATACAAATAACATATACGGGTCGGCCTTGGTGCCTTCGACCCGTTCAAACCTAAGAAAATTCACCTCGCACTGTTGAAGTCCCGCGAATAAATCTCTAGCTACTAGATGACAGATTCTCGAATTGTCAATATCAAATCAACACCCAATTAACCATTTGGGTTTCAATGCATAAACATAAATTCACACTTGGGGTAAAAGGACCATTTTATCCCTATCCTAGCTTGGTACAAGACTACGGCCTAAATTCACACTCTAAAAGCCCAAAAGCCAAATAATCAACCAAGGCCCAACATATGGCCCAATTTCCAAATTGGGCTCAAACTTCTACGTGGTCTTACCTTAGGGCCCAACCATTTATTTTAGTCCAAACACTTAGCATTCTGATGGTCTAATATCTCATAATCATCAAGGCCCAATTATGGCCCATCTATGGCTTAATTTTCCAAATTGGGCCCAAGCCTTTCCAATAGGCTTTATCCTAAAGCACAATCAAAATATTATAGTCCATATACTTGTTCTTGGATGGCCCATCAATAGCCCAATCACCCAAAGCCCAACTAAAGGCCCAACTTGAAGCCCAAACATAATTAGGGTTTCTCACATAAAATGACGATTAGTGTTAAGTGTTCTTACTTAACCCATAAGTTCCAATATTGCGTTAAGATAATTATAGGGGCATTATTATATATTATTTAGGAATTTAATTAACGACTTCAACGCGGGTCCCGACAATCCAAAACTAACATCTTCCAAAATTAGGGTTTTCTAAACTATAATTAGGGATTCTAATCCAAGAACATGCCAAAATTAGGGTTTTCTAAACTATAATTAGGGTTTCTAATCCAAGAACATGTCAATTAGTCAAACAATTGGACTTTTTGGTCAATTATGGCTTCATTAGGTCAATTAGGGTTTCATTAGGTCAAGCACCACCCATTGCCACCTCGGGCGGGGGAGGTCAAAGGCGGCACACAGCGGCAGCCACCACCTCATAGTGGTGGTTGTGATTATAGTCTAATCATTTCCAAGCATCCTAAAAGCAATCCAATCACACACAAATGCACAACGCCACCCAACACAGCGATTGGTGGAGGCAAAAGGCGGCAGCCACCACCTCACGGTGGTGGTGGTGGATTTGCCTTGATTATTTCAGCCACAAAGTTATGGTTATACAACATAATATCCAAAACAACACACACACATACACACGCTCAGCCACCCTTGTGACGGCAGGCGGTGGTCGGAAATGATAGTCACCACCTCACGGTGGTGCTGGTGGGTCTCAATTGGTTCCCGATCATGCTCTTGGATTAGGTGTCTAAGCCCATAACTATAATTGGTATGTACTTGACCCGATAGTAGCATTGTCCATTTGGGTTGCATTCACCGGAGCAATTTGATAAGAAAGATAATTAAGAAAAAGATTATTTGTGATTTATTAATATATTATAAGAATAATATATTAATTAAGAAATCATATTATTTAATTGGTATTGATCAAGAATTAATTTGGAATTAATTCAGTGATCAAAAAAGACTAGTTAACTTAATAGGGGTTGATTATGTAAATCGGTGATACATATAGTTTGGGCTAATGATCCATGTTTGATTAGTAATTGAATAAGCTTATGTGAGATTCCATGAAGTGTTAGTCTAAATGAATTATTGGCTCAAAAGCCTAAGTGAATGGATTAGGGTTAACAAGTGACC